AAATGCCCCACATGCACATCTTAGCGTGCATTGAGAACATCTCCGGTACTTGTCATTGGGAGGTGTTCCCAATACACATTTGGGATGTGTAGTGGGACGTTTTTGGGGAGATTTTTGTGGGGGGGCAGATGTGAATTCCCTTTATCATGCTAGAATTCAATGCCTTTTCCGTCTTTAAAGAATCCTTTTCTCTTTAATGTCACACTTGTGGCTCATGGTTGGGATTATTTTTGGTAAATTAGGAGATGCACTTTCCGTGGCTATGATTTGGCAGGACGATTTTGAGGAGTCTGGATCTACTCCTCATAAAGTGTACCTCACACCGACCGCATAGCATGTCCTAGCCACACATTGGGAACATCTCCCGCACTTGTATTTATTATTTATGGGGAGATGTTCCCAATATAGGGTGGGATATGGTTGTAAGGTCAGTGTGAGGCATGCTTTGTGAGGAGTAGATCTCCCGTACTTGTATTTATTATTTATGGATGATTATTTGTCATGTCCATGCAGACAAACGACCAAACCACAACGGAGTCAAGCAAGCATTGTCGCAGCTATGGATAGGGAAGAAAGGGGTCCATATAGGTGATTTAATCAGAGAAAATTTCCTAGCTACTTGCTCAAACAAGAAGGGAGCAAGGAAAATACTAGATAACAAGCCCTAGTTTTCATGAAAAACATGCTACTCATGAAACCATGGAAACTGGGGAAAAACATTGAAGAGGTGAGACCCAATACCTACCGGTTTTGGTTACAAGCCCACCAATTTCGATGGAGGCAACCATCGATAAGACTGCTAGAAGTATTGCATCATACGTTGGAGAGGTTATAAAGGTCGACATGGAAAACCTAGAAGATAACCTTGTCAATTGTTACATGAGAGTCTTAGATACCATTGATGTGGATAAACCATTGAAAACAAGGAAATGAGTGAGCATAAGAAACAACCAAACCAAAAGGTGGAGTTCAGATATGGACGGCTCCCCAACTATTGCTATCAATGCGGGAGATTAGGGCACCTATTGAGCAGCTATGGAGAAGTGGAGGATGACGAAGATACTGATAAGGAGGCAGGCCATTCGACTAGAAGATTTGGACCCTGGCTTCAAGTGATCCACGCCGGCAGAGGATCACCAGTGGGGGATGATCGGAAAAGCTATAGGAAGTAGGCAAACCAAAAGGGTGAGCAACAAAGCAACCGCCATGCACATGGGAATGATGATTCGAATCTGCCTAGACAATCAAAGAAGGCTAGTAGAGGGAGAGTCAGCTAACGACTTGTACAGAGAATCAAGGCAATAGTGGATTAGCCAACGGGAATCCCCATAACAAACAAATAGGGGTTGTTATTAAATAATATTTTACAAAGGAAAGCACAAAAAAGCACAATGATGGAGGCGACGTGTTGGGGAAAAATCCAAAAGTGGTTACAACGGCTTTTGCCCTATCTCCATCAGCAGAAAAGTCAAAAGAAGCAAAAAATGGTGGAAAAGATTATTCAAATGGGAAAACAAAAGGAAACCAAATACTGGAGGGAGTTAGAAGTGCTCTGGAGAGAAGAAGGGACATGGAGGAGGCTTTGGAGCACTTAAACTTTAAAGACACTAAACTAGTGAAACATCAGAAGACAGCATAAGCAGATGACAAGGTTGGGCCATCTACAGCCCCTATTAGAAACCAGCCCATACTTTTGGAGAGATCGGCGAAGGCTGCACAGTAGCCCCACCGAACGCAATGAATTGGTTATCTTGGAACTGCCAGGGAGTGGAGCCATCCCTGACAGTTCAGTACTTGTCAGAACCTGCCCGTTGTTAGCACCCAATTTTTGTTCGATCCCTTCTTTGTCCCATCTCCTATATTCCAGATGCCCAATCAGACCATGCCAATTGCTTTAAAATATTCCAAAACCCTAAGAAACCAAATTTTAGCCCAAATGCCCATAAATCCACCGTTAAATCTACATGATTCCCTCTCGATGGTCTTGATTATGCCATATCACCATATTTGATCCCTAATCAAACTTCATCATGTGAAACAAAATCCTTAAACAACCAATCACACAAAATTTCAACCCTAATTCTTAGATTGGCTAATCATCCATCAGAGATTCCATTTTGATGCGTCTAACACTATGATGCTCCTCAAACCAAAAGCTCATGATCTAAACATACCTAACATGATCAAATCCTTCCAACATCCACATAATCCCAGTCCATACCTTTATCCCAAAATTCCCTTGTTTAACTCAACATCATGCCTTGATTCCGTTTTGATGAATCTTATTGATTAAAAGATCACCTGTCATGAATCTCCATTATCCAAGCCTTATTTGACCAATCAGACCCTGCCACCATGTTCAAAGACCCAAAAAACACCAGCACATCAAATTTCACGTCCTAATTCACTCGTTTGACTATTAAACTGGGAAGGCGCTATTTTAATGCACTAGATTAAATCGTCACATCACTTGTCCAACCTAGGATCTTAAGAGGGTGGAGACTGATGTCAGATCCTTACTTGACCCCATTAAAACACATGGACCAATGAATTCAAGCCTAATAGGCTTAAAAAGCTCAAAATACCAAACATACCCCACTTGAAACTAAGAAAGGACAAAACCATTTAAAAGTTCATCAAATTTACATTTTTTGCTGCTGTCAGCCCCAAATAGGGGGCTTCAACGTCTAGCACGCTCCAATACCTCATTGGGTACATGAAATCCATAAGAAGCCTTCCAAACTCGAGAAAATTTGTTACACAAAGAATGAAGGATAAACTGCATGCCCTTTTCTCTCAAAATCTTTACCTATTTCAGTGAAAGAGCTCTATTAAATCACATACACTGTAGCTGAACAAATTTCAGACCCATCTCCCTCCCTTTTCCTCTATAAATAGAGGCCCAACTCGAGCTTGAGGAGGAGAGGAGAGGAGAGGAGCAGCTTCCCAACTTCTGTAATATACCCATTCTGCTTAAAATCCCGAAATTCCTAAAGCCAAGCTCAAGCCTCATCCCCTGTTTTCCAAACTTAACACCATAAACACTCAACCCAGGTCCATGCCTCGCTTAAGTTTTTGTTTGAAGTCCTTTTAGCTGCATGAAAGTTTGTTTCAAGGTTGTATGCAAGAGGTAAACCTCTCGTTCCACCGTTTCTCTGCTTTTAGTTTAGTTTCAGATTGCTTAAAATCCTAAAACCTTGGGAAACTTGCATTCCCAGCTTCCTCCAGATTGAGAAAAAGAGGTAGAGAGGCGAGGGTCTTAGGGAAATCAGTACTTAAGACCCGATAACATCACCTCAAATAAATTCTGGGTGAAGTTGGGAACATTTTTTCCAAATTTCAGGCGCTTTGAGCAATCCTGTTAATTCGTGATTCGCTAGAATTTGAACCCGAATTTACTCCCATAATGGGTTGTTATAGCAGCTTGGAGGGATGGGTGCCTAACACTTTCCCTCTCCCAACCTTTGGGACCCAAAACCTTTCAGTTTAGTGCCTTTCCCATGGAGAACAAAGTCACTACCAAAGAGCTAAACTTGAACTTTCAAGTTTGAAAATGAGGGCCCATTTCCTCTAAAAAATGGGTGGTGACTCCATCTCTTTGAGCTGGTCATGAGCTTCCCGAAGCTCACACCCATTCCTACCACCCAAGCCTTATATACCTATGGAGACAAAAAGCACTACAGAGGCCATGTAGAGAATTAGTAGGCGGTTGGGGTACCTATCCAATCATTCAGTAACTACTAGGGGTCTGTCGGGGGGTTTAATTGTAATGTGGAAAGAAGATATTTCTTTAAACATCATCTCGTCTACCTGTAACCTAATCACAACAGAGGTGGAATTGCAGTCCAAGGAAAAATTCACAGTCTCCTTTATCTATGGGGCTCTAGAACAACATAATATGTATGTTACATGGCAAGATTTGGCAAACTTGGGGGCCTATGTCATGGAAGCTTGGCTAGTTATTGGCAACTTCAATGAAATATTAAGTTAGAGAGAGAAGAGAGGGGGACGACATCGTAGTCACTCCCAAATGGTGGGTTTTAAGGCAGCCCTAGAGATGTGTAGATTACAAGATATGGGATACAAGGGGTCGGACTTTACATGGAATAATAACAGATAAGAGAACCAAAATGTGGTCGAATGGCTGGATAGGGCAATTTGTAATCTGAGATGGAGTCATTTATTCTCGGAGGCTACAATCTTGCACGAAGCAGGAATGGAGTCGGATCACTGCCCAATCATCCTTTCACTATAGAAAAGAAAAAGCAAAAGGAAATCACCTTTCAGATTTGAGATGATGTGGAGCTTAGATAACAATGAATTAATGTAGAAGTAAAAGAAAAAAGAACTTCAAGAAATTCTTTGAAATGAAGAAACTCTTTGGCTAATTGGCTCCAGTTAGAAGATTGAAACACAAGATATTTCCATAGGCAACTCTGCAAAGGAGACAAGTGAATCATATTGAAAGATTGAAGGATGGAGAAGGAAGATGGATTGAAGAGAAGGAGGAGCTAGATCATTTGAAGTGCAGCCGCTGCAACATTTCCAAAATTTATTAAGTCAAGCACTCAAGATTTGGACGATGTGGAAAACGTTGAAATTGTCGTTTCCCCAATGTGCCATCATTTCCCCCAACGACTCAATGACATGGCACCTACATGGATCCAACTTGGTGTGAATTAAAAATGATAATGTGCACCACATTTCACTAAATTGTCAGCCTTTTTGTTCTTCATTGCCGCTACTTGCCGTGTTGTATTGCCGATGGGTTTTTTGTTATTCATTGTTGCGGCCTACTGCTGCATCGCCTGCTGTTGTTGCTAGATATATCGTAGAGAGATTTATGTTTTCCATTGCCGTCACCTGCCACTGCATCGCCGGCCGCTGCCTGCCACTTCCTGTTGCTATCTCACGGAGGGTGTTGTCATCAGTTGCTATCTCATTGCTGCTACTTATAAACAAACAAGTATTCATTGGTATGAATAAGTGAGTAGGACTCACCAGTATGAAAAGGATTTTTTTGTTATGAACGTATTGACCAGTTGTGTCTCTTTTCAGTGTTTTTGGTTTTGTTTACGTTTATTGAAAAAACGCTACCACCTCAGCACCATATCAGCATTTGGGTTAATAAACATTTTTTGGGTTTGAAATTATTGTTTGCTGCAAGTGTTTATTGAGAAAACGCTGATAAACATTTTTTCATTGATTTCCGTGAAAGGAGTCATTGGGAGAAGCATCAAATTCTTGCTTCCCCCAATGGTTAGCCATTTCACGAAACATGAGTATCATGTGGCGCTGATGTGTAATCCGATGTGGCGTGGATAGTTTTTGATCTGGTGCATCGCTGATCTACCATCCCACAAGAAAAAAATAATTTTGTAACCCTAACCACAAATTAGGGTATCAAACTGAGGTAAGTGGACGCTGCAGACGATCGAACTTACAAGGAGATTTTTTTTTTTCTTTTCACGCATTGACGTTGACTAGTGGACACTGGTAAGTTCGTCATCGACACCCCGTTAATCCCCTGCCTTGACATCGACAAGGTTTTTTTTTCTAATGAGTCGTAACATTTTCTCCTTGTTTTTTACAGCTCTATAACCCATCGGCAAGGTGATTCATACGCCGTTAATCCCTTGCAAATCATTGCTATTTCTTTTGCCCATTTGAACAGTATGTCCACCATTCCCCTCCTTTGAACATTTTTTATTTTTTGGGTTGTTCTCTACTTGATGTTAGATATGAACCAGTCTGTCGTTTGTATGCTTTCTTAATTAAAAATTAAAAGGCTTTTCTCTTCCAGCGTGAATTCTTTTTCTTGTTGCAAAACAAATAGATTTATTTCTCAAGACGGAAAACATGATCCTACTATAATACAAACGCATAAACTTATTAGTAACCCATTGTAGACAACATTTTTTGGCTTCATTGACATTTCGATGTATTTGTTTATAGAATAAGCGTTAAGAAAATTCATTTTCATTTCTATGAGTTCATCTTTCCCAATTACCAACGACCTTTTTTTGTTCTATTTGTGGATTACTTGAACATTTTGAAGTTTTGGAATTTAATTTGTTAGAAGTCTGACAAAGAAAGTCAATTTGTAGTGCGAATTGGTGAAAGTTTTTTGTAATGAAGAGCACTCATCTCATGTAGATCATATGATCAAATCTCAAGGCTGTAGAGGTGTGTCAATCAACTTATGGGGTTGTCTAATAACTGAAGAATTAATATAATTTCCTATTTTTTCTAAGATTTGTTAATTAAAGAAAGAGTATTGATGAAATTTTGTCTACTTCTCAAACTTCTCCTTGCTTAGAGTGGGTAGTTTGTCTTTAGATTAGTGGGGGGTGGATTCATATCTCCTTTTAATGGAGTTTGCAGTCACAACTGGCTGGATGTTGCTTCATTACTTTGGTAAGCTTAGGTGACTTGAATTTTACTGGCAATTGAATGCTATTCTTGATAAAACATAACCTTTGTCGTGTTCTTATCAGTCTGACCAGTGTTAGGATAATAGAGTGAGAAATATCGGAGAATACTAGTTTGTTCCTATCCACTCTCCTTTACAGCCTGGTCAATACAAGTAGAGAAAATAAGGGATCCAAATGCATAGGACGATAAAGCCAAAACCCATTGTTGTGCATAAAGGAAGAAAGTAAATGTGACACTGGAAATGATCATAAGAATTGCTATTGGAACATAAAAAGGTTTTGGTATCGAAGATGTTTGTTATCGGCCGCTAAATTATTTAACATATCAGTGAGGTCCAAAGAGACTGAGAATAGGCACCATTTTAGAGAGAGAAAATTTAGTTTCAGGTTCTGTTTCTTTTTCTTTTTTCGACTTCTGTTAGGTCAATGTCTTCCAAGTTCCAATCACCCTACCCTCTTAGGTTATGAACAAGAAAGATCATGCGTATAGCTTTAGCAGAGAGGATAGAAAGAATGAAATTCAATTGATTTTCTTAGAGCTAATTCATTAAATGCAAGTATAGGTAATTTGGACCATTGGATTGACTAATGGCTCCTATACATCTAAGTGAAAGTGTCACACTGAAACACCCATATAATTGTTCCTTGAAACATGCCACCAAACAACAAATATGAAAAAACGTTTTATTTTGCCGAGTTGTAAAAGGGGCGTTTCTTGAAACACCCAAAATAGGCCTAACCAAACAACCAAAGGAAAAACATTTAAAGCGAGTGTTTATCAGATAAACGATTATTTGATAAACACCCATCCAATAAACACAAATGTAACCAAACACATACTTTGTTATGAATATTCACATATGAGCCCCACCATCGTCACCAGTTCCGTCTTTTTTGTCATTCTTCTTATTTGGTTTCGAGTTCATCAAAATTGCACAAGGACTATTTGATCGGGATCAAACACATAGTGGTATCAGGTTAAAAGGGATTCATGCCTAACACTGTATTGCTTACTTGAGCATGAAAAACAGTAAGGCTATGTTTGGTTGCAGTATAAATTTATTTGCACTAGTACAAATGCATAGGAGTGCAAATGTAAAAAATGCAAATTCTTGTTTAATTTTGTTTCGGATTGTACTTTATTCTACTTCATGTCTTAATTTACTTCATTTGTATTGCAATCAAACAAAATAAGCTAAAATTTAAAACAAAAATAAGTCAGAATTTACACTCAAATCATTTGCACTACCATGATTTTGCATCAACGCAAATTTATTTGCATTGCAATCAAACACAGCCTAAGGGAAATTGCCTTACCAAACAAGCGTGGGCTTTTTTTTTTTGGAAAATTGAGCCTAAAAACACCCGCACTACCAAAGTTTTACTAGATACGTGAAAGAGGTTGTCTAACTAAGGTTATGTTTAGTATTATTGCGGTTTATTCATAAAATGTTTGAGATTGATCAATATATAGGAGGTAAATTATGAATTATCATGTCATACAATGAGAAACACTTTGGGTTGATCAATACGTTGTTGTTATTTGTTTTTTTGGTATTCAATTGTTGCTGTTACTTAAAAATGTTTCAACTCTAAACTGCAACGATCAGTCCCATGTATTTTTTTTGGTTGGAGTGGCTCCCTTGTTAACATGGCAACTCATCTTTTTCATCAATTTTGTTGATCAACCCCAAAACGTTGTAGGAAGAAACTATCAAACACAACCTAAATTAATCAGAAAAAAAATTTGAAAAATCGCGATAAATACAAAATACACGGTGGAATAGAACCGTAGAAGTTAAATTTCGGGAGAAGAAGAGGGCAAACGAGGGAATTTGACCCCACTATGGAAAGAGCTTTGAAATGATGCATAGAGCAATGGGATACTAGGCAATTGTGCTTTAATAGTTCTGGTCCTTCTGGATTTTGATGCTGATATGGATATCAGACCGCCCGGAGGTGCAATCGGAATGTTCTTGTTTCCTTGTAGCTTATGCTTCTCAAGTTTCCCACAATACTTCCCATTCTGATTCAACATCGACCCTCTTAAGCTCCAACTCTGCATTTTTTCCTGTTTCAGAAGAGAGTTCCAGGTACCCATTTTGATTAATTCTACCAAAAAAGTTCGATTATTAGTTTGTTTTTGGGTTTTTGTAGGTAGAAAGATTGGATATTGGGGCTTCTTCTTGTCTGATATGACTCGTTTTCTACTTGAGAATTGGATATGCCGATTTTGCGGTTACGTTCTTCGTGATTTTCAATCCTTACTACTAGTTCCAGTTCGAATTGGGTTCTCTTTCTTTTTTGATGGAGAATCTGGCAGTATGCTCTTGTGCTTCCTCTGTTTTTTTCCTCCTTTTTTTTTATTTTTTGGTCAAATTCTCTTTTCATTTTTCGATGATGGATGAAGTGGGGAGGGGTTAGCGTTGCTTACTTAATTGTTCATCTTTTTAAATGTTTGTTTGGTATAAACACTGAGAAATTATTAGATGTGTCTTGTTCAGGATTGATAAATATTGACCCCCTTTTCTGGAATTATATATCTCTCCTATAAATATGCATAGCGATGGCATACTTATTTCTGTGGTTCTTGTCCTCTTAAGTTCTATTCTGATGTTCTGGGTGCGCTTGTTATTTTTTTTTATCAAGATATGATCTTTATAAGGTGATTTTGAATTCTTAAATTTGGGTACACTTGCTTGGTGGAAGAAAAAGGAAGATAATTATTCTCAAGAATATCTTATTACGTATTGCAAAGTAGAGGAAAATTTGGTGGAATTAGATATTTAAAGGAAGGGGATGTTAATCCCAAATTTGCAGTTGTGCTATTTCTTTGTTTTAAGGTGAAAAATCCTACATATGTCTCGTGTTGCAAACTAATTTATAGTTTACGAGTTACAAGTCAGTTCTAGGGTTTATGCAAAATGAGATGGAGAAGTGCTCAAAACTGGCTGCTGTTGGCACCCTATTGATTGTAGATGTTCTAGAATTGGTGTTTGAATTTGCATACATAATAGTGCTCAAAACTGGCTGCTGTTGGCTTCTCTTGAAGAACAGAGAACTGAGACTAACCTGAACTTCCAAGTGTTGGGTTTGGGCCAACTGCCCTAGAGCAAGTCCTTTGGTGCATGTGCTCTTTGTATGTGTTATTTCTTTCATAAAGTTTAAATTGCTCAAGGAAACAATACCATCAAGGAGAATGTAGACAGGTTGGTTTTAAGCTTACTGCTTAATCCATGTTTGTTTTCAGAAAATCAAAAATCTCTTCCTACCAAGTGAAGAAAAGGGGGAAAAAACTCCAAGTTGCAGTTAGAGCCGAGACTCTGCCTCCTTCTATGATACTTCCTTTAATGTTTGCAATATTATGGGATTGTGATATCAGTTTTGATGTCCATATCACCACAAAGGATATCAACATATTCTAGGTTTATCAGAGATACATCTTGTAAATTATTATGGATGTAAAGTAACTTTTGGAATTTCGTAAAATTAGTTGATATTTAGGTAAATAAGATGTAAATCACTATGAACTATTTGAGAACATGTTGAAAAGGGGTTAAATAGGCAGATATACTTAGCTATCCCACATGCTTCAAATTGTTGTCATGTAACTTATCTACTATATTATAAGTAAAGATCCAATACATTGTTTCTGATGACCTTGTATATCAGTTACAAGTTGCAACTAGCTAATACATAGTTTAGTTAGGTGTACTAACAAAAAACGGGAAGAAATATAAAAGTGGAATTTGGATCTGTATCTGATGTATTGACCAGATAAAACTTAAAAGGGCCATCGCTTAGTTTTGGTCGTGGCTTTCTAGGGTCTTGGAATGAGTGGACTGGATGTGGACCTAAGCCTCTAATATATATTTTTTTTGGCACCAAGTAGCCACTCTCAGACTTAAATCTGTGCTCTCATGCTTGTTAGACTGGGTTTTTACCATTGCACCAAGCTAAAACTCTATGAAGAAAAATAAAAATTTGTTTAGAAAAAAACGTTCAGTTTTGAAAACCTTGGAATGAGTTTTGACCTATGATTCACTGCTTGATTCTAAAAACTCAAATTACTGCTCCTTTTCCAAGAGTCCTACCCTTTCTTTTCCACCCTAAAAATTGAGTTGGGGAGAAAAGGGTGCAAAAAGAAGTTTCTCTGCCCCAAAAATTGAACTATTTTTTTTTTCTTTTTGTTTTTGGTCAAATGTTGATATTGAACATGAGATGATCGACATTCTGCGAAAATAAGTACTTCGTGCACTATTTTGGACATTCCAGACCAACATTTATTATTTTATGAATTATGCATCAAAGTTACTTATTTCTCTATTATGTTGATATCTGTGTACTGACTGACATTAACTGACTTTTTTCAATTATTTTATTCCATGGTAGTAAACATCAAGCTTTGATGATATCGACACATCATCCTTGTCCCATGATATATCCTCCTCAAATGTATTAGCAAAACTGGTGTAGAATTATGACTTTTAAGTTGCATATGCCATACTATAAATTATCATTATTAATATCTTAACTGTCCATCTATGATTCATTGATTCTCTTCTATCAAATCGAGTACATATAAGAAGCACTCAATATCCTGTTTACTACTATAATTATGATGATACCTAATTTATTTCAGATAACTTATAAGAGATTTTGACCAGCTGAACCTTATATTTTGTAGATCCTTCTTAGGAGATCTTTAAGATAAAAACCAGCTTGATTACCTTTAACCATAAAATAAATGGGTCATTGTTCACAGAATATATCCTTGTTTTCTTACAATCCAAAAATATTCTATCTTGTTGTTGATTAATTTATTCAATTGGATTAAGCTTCTTAGGTAAAATAAATCTTCAATATATGGATTGCAAACTAAACATTTGAGATCAATAAAAATATTAAATTATTAATAGATTTGTGATTCTAACAGTGGTATTTAAATCATTGTAGCAGTAGTTCAGGGACTTCCAAATGCATGCTGTACTTCATGAATGATTGGCAATTTCCAAGTTTCAACCATCTTGGATTTGGTTGCATCTCATTTCCACGGATCATTTATGTGCCCTGTTTTTGGTCAATATCATTTATGTACCCTTCTTCTCTTTTCTTTTTTTTTTCTTTTCCAACTAGTGGGGACCCGTGCAAATCTGAAAGATTTAATAAATTTATTTACTATTAATTAATATTAAATTAATAATCAAAATTTGTTGTTAACTAACTATAAGTATTCAAAGTTATTGTTAATATCTAAAATTTAATAATTTTATTTTTCATTTAATGTTGATTTACAGAAAATAATTATTGTTAATTTAATATGAACAAATATTTTTAATAAATTTAGTTTTATTAATAATTTGTAGTAATTTTAATAATTTTTATTATTTTTAAATGAAAATTTGATTAACTTTAAATAAATAAAAATAACGACAAAAGCTATCATTTTTATTAATTTCACTAATAATTAAAAATTATATAGGAATGACAACGGGGTGGGTTCAGGGCAGGGCACCCCATCCCTATGCCTGCCCCATGGTCAAGACACTCTACCCCATCCCTATGCCTGCCCCATGGTCAAGACACTCTACCCCATCCCCGCCCCGTCCCTAGTGTCAGGCGGGTTTAGGGCAAGGCAAACCACTCCTCAATGTTGGGTGAGTTCAGGGGCAAGGCACCCCACTCCTCATCAAGGATGGGGAATCCTCGAATTTCCCCGCCCCGTCCCCAGTATTGGGCGGGTTCAAGTAGAGGTGTAAATCGGGTCGTACTGGGCCGGCACAACATGGCCCGCATGTGCACAAAGTATACATAAAAAACGGGGCGGCTACCTGGCCCATGAATAGGTCAAATTGTATATATAAACAAATGTATACTTCAAAAATCATATGAAATAAAAATTCAAACATCTTTTTTTTTTTTTTTTTTTTTTAAAATGGACCTCCCATGGCTTGGCTTGGTTCGTGGCCTGGCTTGGCCCAAGGCTCGGCCCACGTCACGGCACGGCTTGTGCCGAACCGACCCCCCAAATTAGGGATGGCAATGGGGCGGGTTCATGGAGGTTTTGTAAATTCTAGACCCTACCCACCTCCCTGAACTCCTCAATCCGTACCTGCCCCAAAACCCGTAGTGGGTTGGATTTTAAGAATCTAAACCCTACTCGCACATGAAAATGCAAAACCCTCTTGGACCCTACCCTCCCCACATTCAAGGGTAGGGTGGGTTGGGTTTAGAACCCACATCTAATTTCCTTTTATTTCTTGTCATACAAAAGTAATAAATAAGAAAAATAACACAAATAACAACAAAATTTCCAATTATTTGATTAAGTCATGTAAAAAACACAAACTATCAGTTGTCCTTCATGTAAAATTTAAAACATTATTAAATTCAAGACCTAGTACATAAAGTTTATATGCTTTCCAACAATATGCAGGTCGGGAAGGGTCAGGTTTAGCCTAATACGTACCCTACCCATACCCGTACGGGTTGTAGAATCTCAAAACCCATCCCCGCCCCAAAACCCATTCTTCAAGCAAAAAAACCTGCCCTGTCGCCACCGTTGGGGAGGGTACCCACCGGGTAGGGTAGAAATTGCCATCCCTAGTTTAAATGTTGAATTCAGTTGTCTATATCAAAGTATGAATTGCCATCCCTAATTATTAAAAATACTGTAATTATTTAAATGTAATTAAATGTAATTTTTTAAAAATAGTTACTGTTAATTATAAAATAACTATATGTTGATTTTTTAATTATAAAATAATTAATGTTAATTATAAAAAATAATTACTGTTAGTTTTCTCATAATTACTGTTAATTACATATTTTCATATTTTCAGAAACATAGTTACATTGTTTTTTGTTATTTTTTTGAAAATACTATTATTTAATAAATACATTATTTTTAAATAAATACTGTAACTAACAAATACTGCATTTATTGAAAATACTGTTAATTAATTAAATACTGTAATTAATATTGTTAATTAAGAAATACCGTATTTTGTAAAATAATGTTAATTATTAAAAATTAGAAAAATACTGTAATTATGAAAAATATTGTAATTATTAAATTACTGTTAATTAATAAATACATTATATTGAACAAATACTCTAATTATTATTACTTGTAATTAATAAATACTGTTAATTATTAAAATAAATGCATTATTTTTAACAAGTACTGTAATTACTAATACTTCTAATTAATAAATACTGTTAATTATTAAAAATACTGTAATTACTAACACTGTTAATTATTAAAATAAATACATTATTTCTAATAAATAATTGAAAAAAATTGAAAAAGATGTTTAAATTTTTATTTAATATGATTTTTTATGTATACAATTGTTTATATATACAATTTGACCTATTTGTGGGCCGGGTTCTAAACCCAACCTGCCCTACCCTTGAATATGGGGAGGGTAGGGTCCGGGAAGGTTTTGCATTTTCATGTGCGGGTAGAGTTTGGATTCTTAAAATCCAACCTGTTATGGGTTTTGGGGCGGATACAAATTGAGAAGTTCAGGGAGGTGGGGGTCTAGAATTTACAAAACCCTCCCCGAACCCACCCCATTGTCATCCCTAATTTGGGGGGTCGGTTTGGCATGGCTCACGGCCCGAGCCCGCACGGGCCCATGCCGTGCTGTGGCCCGAGCCTTGGGCCAGGCCAAGCCACGGATCAAGCCAAGCTATGAGAGGTCCATTTAAAAAAAAATTGAAAAAGATGTTTAAATTTTTATTTCATATGATTTTTGATGTATACAACTGTTTATATATACAATTTGACCTATTCATGGCAGTGTTTTAAAAGCGAAAGGCGCACAAAAAGTGACATGTTCCAAATGCGCCTGAGGCGCAAGGTGCAAGGTGAGGCATACGCCTTTTTAAAAAGTCACACAAAATAAAAAAAACTAAAAAATAGAAAAAATAGAAACAAACATGTAGAAATTCTAAGAAATCTCTGGAAAATATCAAAAAACAAGGAGAAGAAGTAAAGAGAAAACTGAAAAAAAAAAGAATGGGGTGGAGCCCTGTTTTACTATTTTCAAATTAATATTTACTGATAAAAAAACAGTGTGTAACAGTGGGGCGGTGCCCCTGTTTTAGAGTAAAACAGTTCCAGAAGAAGAAACACAATGAAAAAAAAAGATTGGGCAGAGCCCCTGTTTTTCTATGAACAAGAAGAAGAAGAAGGAGGGGAAGAAGAAGAAAAGAAGAAAAGAAGAAAAGAAGAAGAAGAAGGGGGCCGGTGGAACCCCTGTTTTCAGTGTAAAAAGTGAAGAAACAAATAAAAAAAAAGATTGGGCAGAGACCCTGTTCCAGAAGAAGAAGAAGAAGAAGTACCTGATGCTGAAGGCCTAAAGAGTTGAAGACGCTACAGTTGGTCATCCGACTGAGAGATGGCCTCTGATAATCAAACTTTGAAGGTGGTTGTTCGACTGAGTTGAAGGTCTGAACTCGATGATCTAAGAAGAACGTGGGGGCTGAGGGCTCTGAACTTTGCCATTCGAGACTTCGACTGATACTGTGAGTCTAAGAAGATTTTTGTGAAAACCTTGCATGGCAAGTTTTTTCTCTCTCGATTGGGTTGTGAATTTTCTTTCAAATTTGCCATACCATATCCCAAAAAACAAGGAGAAGTAAAGAAAAAACTGAAAATAAAAAAAAAAAGAATGGGGTGGAGCCCTGTTTTACTATTTTAAAATTAATATTTGCTGATAAAAAAACAGTGTGTAACAGTGGGGCGGTGCCCCTGTTTTAGTGTAAAACAGTTCCAGAAGAAGAAACACAATGAAAAAAAAAAGATTGGGCAAAGCCCCTGTTTTTCTATGAACAAGAAGAAGAAGGAGGAGAAGAAGGAGGAGAAGAAGAAAAGAAGAAGAAGAAGGAGAAGAAGAAGAAAAGAAGAAGGGGGCCGGTGGAACCCCTGTTTTCAGTGTAAAAAGTGAAGAAACAAATAAAAAAAGATTGGTCAGAGCCCCTGTTCCAGAAGAAGAAGAAGAAGAGGAAGAAGAAGTACCTAGTGCTGAAGGCCTAAAGAGTTGAAGACGCTATAGTTGGTCGTCCGACTGAGAGATGGCCTCTGATAATCAAACTTTGAAGGTGGTTGTTCGACTGAGTTGAAGGCCTGAACTCGATGATCTAAGAAGAACGTGGGGGCTGAGGGCTCTGGACTTTTCCATTCGAGACTTCGACTGATACTGGGAGTCTAAGAAGATTTTTGTGAAAGCCTTGCATGACGAGTTTTTTCTCTCTCGATTGGGTTGTGAATTTTCTTTCAAATTTGCCATACCATATCCCAATATTTTGGCACATAAAAGGAATAAACAATATATATATATGATTATAATCATCTATGATTTCGGCAAGAAGAAAGATCTCGATCAAGAGATGAAAGGAGGAGAAGAGAAGAAGAAGAAGAAAGAAGAAGAGAGGAGAGAAGAAAGAGGCGAAATATTTAGACCAAAAAACATAAACTGGCGATACCCAGGATTTGTATTTATAAGTTAGGGCGACTACATAAAAAATAAAAGGTTAAAAAGACAAAAATGCCCCTGCGGCACATAACTGAGATTACATCACTCCCCCTCAAGTTGGGGCGTAGACATCAATCATCCCCAACTTGTCACAAAGATTATAGTGCCTCATGGAATTTAATCCTTTAGTAAAGATGTCTGCCAGTTGTTCCTCAGAGCTGATGTAGGGAGGGCAAACTTCTCCTTTTTCCAATTTTTCTCTGATGAAGTGTTTGTCAACCTCTATATGTTTAGTTCTATCATGGAGAACAAGGTTGGTTGAAATGTTAATAGCAGCCTTATTGTCATAGTATAATGACATAGGATCACTGAGAGGAAAGTCCAATTCACCCAAGAGATTCTTTATCCATAGAAGTTCTGCCACACCATGAGACATGGCTCTATATTCAGCTTCTACACTTGATCGGGCCACCACACTTTGTTTCTTACTCCTCCAAGTAACCAAGTTTCCCCCAACCAAAGCACAATAACCACTAGTAGATTTTCTGTCATCTACAGAACCAGCCCAATCTGCATCAGTGTAAACCTCAACTCTTATATGCTCATGTTTTCCAAACAGGAGTCCTGTCCCAGGGAATTTCTTCAAATATCTAAGAACTCTGTGTGCTGCCTCCAAGTGTGTGGCCTTGGGTGCATGCATAAACTGACTAAGGACTCCCACTGCATACGCAATGTTAGGTCTTGTCATAGATAGGTAGAGAAGTCTTCCCACCAATCTTTGATACTGCTTCATATCTGCTATGGGCTCATCACTGCAATCCTCGAGCCTGTGGTTTACATCTATAGGAGTGTTAGCAAGTTTTGCTCCAAGCTTCCCAGTATCTTTCAGGAGATCAAGAACATATTTCCTTTGGGAGATGAAGATACCCTGATTAGAGCGGGCCACTTCAATTCCAAGGAAATAACGTAAAGGCCCCAAATCCTTCACTTCAAATTGGGTGGCCAAGAATCTCTTCAATCTTTGTATCTCTGAGTTCCAATCACCGGTGATAATAATGTCATCAACATACACAATTAAAGCTACCATTCTTCCTTGCTCTCTCATCACAAAGAGTGTGTGATTAGATTGGCACTGCTTAAAACCCATCTGTTGAACTGCATTGTGGAACCTACTGAACCAGGCCCTTGGAGACTGTTTTAAACCATACAAAGATTTCTTCAGTCTACATACTTTCTACTCATCTCCTTTAACACGAAAACCTGGAGGTTGGATCATATACACTTCTTCTAAGTCACCATTCAAAAAAGCATTTTTAATGTCCAACTGATGAAGTTCCCAATCTAGATTTGTTGCTAAAGAAAGGAGGATTTGAATAGAATTCATTTTTGCTATAGGTGCAAAGGTTTCCGCATAATCAACTCTATACACCTGTGGAAAACCTTTTGCAACTAGCCGGGCCTTGTACCTCTCCACTGTGCCATCTGCCTTATGTTTCATAGAAAATACCTATTTGCACCCCACAGGTTCCTTTCCTTCAGGAAGATTTACCAGCTCCCACGTGCCATTTTTGTGAAGGGCATTGATCTCCTCCTTCATTGCATCTGTCCATTCAGGAGTAAGTAAAGCTTCTGCAACACTCTTAGGAAGGGAAACACTGTCAATAGCAGAGAGGAAAGCATGGAAAGAGGGTGAAACATGCTCATAGGATAAGGAAAGGGCCATCGGGTGGTGTGTGGTGCATGATCCGACACCTTTCCTCTTAGCAATAGGAAGATCCAAATCACAATTAGAAGTATCAATATCAATGGGCTTAGGGATGTCAATTGGAACAATAGTACTTGGATGCGGTGATTGATTTAACCCCTGAGAGTTCGATGGCACAGGTTGCACAACTTCAGGATGCTTTGTGTCTATTGAACTTTGTTGATCACGGCCTTGACTTTTGTACCACTGTTTACGAAAGACCCGAAATGGAGGGGGGTCAGGAGGAGAAGGCAACAAAACCTGTCTCTGTTTCTCCTCACTTGAACTCTCCTCCTGAGGAGAAGCAAGAAAGAAAGGCACATCTTCAAAGAAAGAAACATCCATAGATACAAAGTACTTTTTGGAAATAGGGTCAAAGCAACGATAACTTTTTTGGGAAAGGGGATAGCCAAGGAATACACAAACAATGGCTTTGGGATCTAACTTACCACAGGTAGGTGATAGATCATGGACAAAACACTTACACCCAAAGACACGCAAAGGGATAGGAAATAATGGAGCTGTAGGGAAGATGAGCTGATGAGGGGACTTGTACTCCAAGAGACAAGATGGCATCCGATTGATAAGAGAAGCCGCAGTCATAACAACATCCACCTAGAACCTTTTTGGAACATTCATGTGTATCAACAACCCTTGAGCAACCTCTAAGAGATGACGATTCTTTCTCTTTGCAACCCCATTCTGTTGAGGGGTTCGAGCACAAGAACTACGATGAATAGAACCACAAGTTTCAAAAAATTCTATAAGGTCACCATGAAAGTACCCTTTGGCATTGTTTGATTGGAAAGTTCGAATCTCCGTTTGGAATTGTGTGTATACCATGTTGGAAGGCTTTCACAAGTTTAGGAACTTCGTCTCGAGAGTGAATAGGGTACACCCACATATATTGAGAGAAGTCATCAATGAAAGATATGAAGTATCTGTAGCCATGCTCTGTTGGAATATTTACAGGTCCCCAAACATCAGAATACACAATGGAAAAGGAAACATCTGATTTTTTATTACATAAAGAAAATGAAGTTCTACAATGCTTGCTTTGTTGACACACTTGACACTGAAAATCATTAATAGACACAGACTTAAACAATTCTAGAAACAAATACTTTAAGGACTCAAAAGACAGATGAACCAAACGATTGTGCCACAAAGTAACCTAACTTTTATTTGACTGACTCAAAGACTCCGAGGCCGCAAGACCAACTCTATTCTCCAGCACATAGAGGCCATTCACCATGTTCCCTTTACCAATCATCCTCCCAGAAGCCAAATCCTAAAAGACATAGGAAAAAAGGTTACTGAGCAGTTCAAAGAGTGTATAATGCTGCTAATAGATAGTAAATTAATAGGTAGTTTTGGAACATATAAAACATCTGATAGGGGTAAGCCAAATGGCAAAGATATAGATCCTCAACCAGCTATGGAGGAGAAGGATCCATCAGCTAACCTCACTTTATCTTTGCTAGAAAGAAGGGTGTATGATTGGAAAAAGGTCGACTTACCCGTCATGCGATTGGAAGCACCTGAATCAATAATCCATGGAATGCAGAAGCTAAGTTACTTGAGGAAGAGGCAAAAGAGGTTGAAGGAGTGGGTCCAGAATCAGTTTGTGTGAGGGCCTTACCATATTGCTCCAAATGATCACGAAAGGCAGTGATAATATTTTCCTTAAGATCGGACCTAGGGGGGCAATCTTGAGAGTTCATAGTAGTTCCTCCACTCTGCAACTCATGAGAGGCCAAGTTAGCCAAGGTGAACCTTTTCTGATTTGGTTTCTTGTTCTGTTCTTGTGCTGATTTCTTATTTCGGTCTTGTGCCTACTTCGGCTTGCCATGCAATTCCCAACATGTCTCCCGTGTGTGTCGGGATTTCTGACAATGAGAGCAACACAGTTTATCCTTATCATCAACCATTTTCTGACCATCTCCCTTTCTTGCTGAATTGATATTACCTCTTGCGGCTAAGGCAATGGTCTCCCCCTCGGGAGGATTCATGGCAGATTTCCTACTTTCCTTGGATTGAACCAATGCATACACCTCTTGGACAGAGGGAAGATCCTTGCTGCCCAAAATTTGAACTCGAATGGGTTCATATATGGGATTAAGTCCCAACAAAAAAGCAAACACCCGCTGTTGTGACACTAACTGTTTGTAGGCTTTGGCATCCTTTTCACTTCCCAGTCAATATTCTGATAGTAATCTAACTCTTTCCAGATAGATGCGAGGGCAGAATAGTAGGTGGATAAGCTTCTTTCCCCTTGTTTATACGTTGCAGGCTCGGCTTGCAATTGATAGATTCTAGCATAGTGCCTCTGTTCGGAGTAAGTTGACCTTTCTTGTTCCCATATTTCCTTGGCTGTTTCAGCCCACATAAAGTTCTGCTTCACTGATGGTAGCATAGTAGTCAAGAGCCATGACATAATCATGCAGTTTTCCTGGTCCCATTTATCATATTCAGCCATACCAGTCCTAGGTTCCTTCACTTTTCCATTGATATACCCTGTTTTACCCCGGGCTGTGATGTACAGCTGCATCTCCTTAGACCATGTCAAATAATTTCTGCCATCTAAGGGAGTAATGGTCGTTGGAAAGCTCATGGAGTCAATACTGTTGTTCATTCCTCCTTGGTTAAAAGAGGCTCCAGAGGTTGCTGAATCTTCAGAATTCATGACTGACGCTCACTAAGACAACAACAGTCCCTTCACTTCAGTCAATACACACAAATGGACTACACAACCCTTACTTTAAGTTTTCTGACAGTTAGAACACAATCACAGCCCTTGCTGCAACACACTCTCACTGATCTAACAGGCCTCTCCAAGGCTAATATAACCCACAAGCATCAATACCCTGCTGCTGTACTAGCCATCTGAACAAGTTCACAGGTGTAATAGACTTCTCCAAGGCTAATATAAGCCACAAGCATCAGTACACGGTTGCTGTAACAGTCAACCAAACCAGATCACTCATGACCTACAACTAATTCAACAAGTTCACAGGTTTCTGGATCATCCGACCCACAAATAATGGGTTAAGCCTCCCTTATACCATTCGGTCAAGGCAACCCTCAACCTGTTCTTGGTACCAGCACCAAGAACCAAAGAAAAAGGTTTAAAAAAAATCTGTCCAAGTTCAGTTCAGGTGGTTTCTGGATTTTCCAGTCCAAGAATAATAAAAGAGAATAGGAAAAAAGGAGCCGCCAACCTCTTGGAAGGACTCAACCAGTCATCAAGAATTTTCTGCAATCACTTCAGTTGATTTCCGCCCAGAACAGGAGAGGGAGATCCAGCCGATGAGTTCTCAGGTCCAGAACAATCTTCTGCAATCACTTCCGTTGAGTTTTTGGCCAGAACTGGAGAGGGGGATTCAGCCGATGAGTTCTCCGGTCCAGAGCTGACTTCGTTTCTTCATTCTCAGTCAAGCGAACATAGAGGATGTCATCAACCAAAAAAAATTTACAGAGCACCAACCTGCTTTGATACCATGATTTCGACAAGAAGAAAGTTCTCGATCAAGAGATGAGAGGAAGAGAAGAGAAGAAGAAGGAAGAAGAAAGAAGAAGAAGAAGAAGAAGAGAGGAGAGAAGAAGCGAAATATTTAGACCAAAAAGCATAAACTGGCGGTGCCCAGGATTTGTATTTATAAGTTAGGGCGACTGCATAAAAAATAAAAGGTTAAAAAGACAAAAATTCCCTTGCGGCACATAATTGAGATTACATCAATCTATAAAAGTAAATTAAAAAAAAACAAAGGGCAACTTAAAATAGGCGCTTGCCTGGACTGCCTGGCACCTGGCCTGAGGCGCACGCCTTAGGCGCAGAGGCGAGCGCCTTCCTAAAGTTTGGCCACCTTGACCCATGCGAGGCGCCTACTTTGAAAACGCCTTGCCTTGCGCCTCAGGTGTGCCTTTTAAAACACTGATTCATGGGTCAGGTAGCCCACCCCATTGAGAAGTTCAGGGAGGTGGGTAGGGTCTAGAATTTACAAAACCCTCCCCGAACCCGCCCCATTGTCATCCCTAATTTGGGGGGTCGGTTCGGCATGGCCCATGGCCCGAGCCAGCGTAGGCCTGTGCCCTGCCGTGGGCTGAGCCTTGGGCTAGGCCAATCTATGAGAGGTCCATTTTTAAAAAAAAATTGAAAAAGATGTTTAAATTTTTATTTCATATGATTTTTGGTGTATACAATTGTTTATATATACAATTTGACCTATTCATTGGCCAGGTAGCCTGACGGCTCGGCCCAACCTGACTTGTTATTTTTCAGGCCTGGACAAAATTTCAGGCCTGTGGGCTCGAGCTCGGGCTTTCTCATATAAGCCTGGCTCGGGCCCGATCCAATACTACTACATATATAAAAAGGTACTTACATTATATAATATATATATACTTCTTACATTATTAATAAATATCAATTTACTATTCGGAACTATAAATTAGTTTATTAATTTATTAAATTATTACTAAATTAATATAATATTAGTTTATAAAAGTATACTGAAAATAAGACATTTTGTGTACAAATCTAATAGTGTACAACTTTATTAATCTAATCAAGATAAGCAATGATTACTGTTTTATATTTTTAAAACAAAAGAAAATAAGAAAAAATGCAAAAAATGGAGAAAATAGATAAATAGCTTCTCTCAAAGGAGAGACATGCTCACATGGACCATCCAATTTTATTATATATATAGGTTTTTATAGTGGGTTGGATCAGGCCCTTTTCTAGAACATGGGCTATGGTTGTGTGTTTAACCTTTTTTTTTTTTAAATTGTGGGCTTGTTTGGCTAGTCTTTTCAGAAGATCTTTTGGGCTTTTCAAGGACTGCTAGACGAAAAAACAGTCCTTTTCCTTTTGGCAACAAAAGACAGGAAGCTGGAAAGACCTGTGTCCCAGAAAGCTCACAGAAGCCTGGAACAGCCAAAAATCAGAAAGCTTCAAACTAAGCTTCCCATTTTTCCGTGCCTAAAATCTTTTGTTTAACAGCCCAGTAGACCATGGTAGACCAGGATACTTACCAAACGATCTTGATCTTTGAAGACAAGACCCCAAAAGCTCAGTACGTCTTTTGGCCATTTGGGCTGTTGGAATATCTTCCTAAAAAGACTTTTTTTTTTTGATCAATTATCTTCCTAAAAAGACTTGCCAAATGACACCTTTGTCTACTTCCATGCTTTTGCTAAATCCTTGTCCATTGAAACAGCAGATTATTTTCTTACTAAGCTCAGGATATTTAGGTTGTATTCGTTTACATTTATCAGTTTCCACTTTCCACATGCCTTCTGCATATTTTTGTTATCCTTTTAGTTAATTAGATTTTCCATTGTAGCCCCACCAATAATCAATTTGACAGGAATCTTTTTTATTGACAACGGTAAAAAGATTTTATTGAAAATGAAGATCAAATGCCTCAACAATAAAGAAAGAAGATTGAAAGCCTTCCATTTCCGAGCTTTGGGACAAAAGACAAACTACAATAGCAAAGAGATGACTCAATTCAGCCTATGTATACAAGTTTTATTATAATCAAACTATTGAACAATATTACAAGTCCCTCCCTGAAGCTGGTGAACCCCAAATTAACTTCCCTCTAGTCGCTCCTTAGCAAGGTTGTCTGAACTATTAACAGATCTTGGAACCCACTTCAATGAGCAGTTCATATTGGGCTATMTATTAGAGCTGAAAATCTGGCTCTAGTTTATTAAAATACAAAAATTTCATTTATTAAAATATAGATGATGTACAAAAGGATGAAAAATACACAAATTAACATTAGTTCTTATTAAATCCTTGCAGTGCCTATAAAATTTGTCCTGCCCATTTCCTTGAACTCATGAAGTAGCTCAGTCCATTATGAACGAACTGATATCCTTGCAAACCCCGTGAGCTGGTCTTGATGCATTATTAAAGATCCTTCCATTCATTTCCTTGGACAAACCCTACAAGATGGCTAAAGGGTTTATTCTTCAAAGCACCTGGGCCTTTGCTTTAAATTGCCTAGCCGTTTACTTAAGATTACTACATCATATGACCTGACGCCAGATCTTCCAATTGTTGTCAAAGTCACAGAGAACAAAACCCCTCCTGCTTAGCCAGCTTATTGAGGGAAAAGCTGATGATCATCCTTTTCTGCCACCTTTTACAATATACATTTGTTAGCTAACTTTTATTCCTGTCCTTGAGCAAGCATTATCTATTTCTCCATTCTGAACACAATGGTTCAGGATTTATGTTCATATAGTTTTGGAAGAAAGGGTTTTATCCCATCTTCCAACCTGATATAATCCTCCACATTTATTTGGGCAGTGGAAAACAAGCTTATGATGATAGACATATTATTCATATAAGAAGTATTTATATTAGAGCATTTGATATAGAGACTTTCAGTATTCACATATAAGTCTCTATTTATTTTGCTTCAAAATCATATTTAACTCACTATTATACTAATGGACTTGCATTCCTCATATAAGTAGCATTCTTTGTGGGAATTCTTAATATTATCATGTGTACGACTGTTTCTTATGTTGTTAAAAGTATGTTTCAATTATTTTATTTTTCTTCTGAGACAAATGTGTTCATTGTAGGTATTCTTTCTTACTGATAGGCTCTTTCAGTGCGTTCTTTTTATAGATGCCAGAATTGATGACAGCAGTGTAGCATGGGGCTTGATAATTTGTGGCAAAGCTGCACACAGGGACTTTACATTCAGTGAGTATTCAGTATTGTTAGAGTAAATGGGGAATGCCAAACTAATAATAGGTGGATGAATATATGATGTAAGTCGGTAGCTCAGTAAGTTGGTAGCATCAGGAGCCATGTCTTCATCTCTACCAGTTCTTCCAACTCCTCTAGAAGAGAAGTATCCCAAATTGCCAGATTCACAAGAAGTTTCCTTGGGAAGGGAAATAATGACAAATCCTGTGGTTCCTCAAGTGCCTCCATTGGTCTCTAACAGTGAAGTGGTTGGTCACATATTTTCATCAGCTTCAGGATTCTCCACAGATCTCCAATTCTCTTCAGTTGCTCATGAAGGGCATTCTAAAAATGCTCCATTTATTTCTCAGTCATTAAGTAATGGAGTAGCTTTGCCATTGACGCATTCTTCCCATTCAGGTCTATATCAATCTGGGGCATTGAATCATTACCCCAAAGAAAACAGCAATATATCCTGGACTGCAGATCAACTGCAGGGTTTTCTTGATTTTCCTGAAAATGTTCCTACCCAGAGCAGTCAAACGGAAAGTGGCAATGGTGGTGTCATGCCATCTGAGGATCGTACAAAACGAAATGATTGGCAGGAATGGGCAGACCAGTTAATCACAGATGATGATCCTTTGGCTTCTAATTGGAATGAACTTCTTCTTGACACCAATGTTGCAGATACTGAAAAAAAGGTTGGTTTCTTTTATTGGCTCAAATGTATTGAAATTTCTTGGTAAATTTGCTAAATCTTTTTTTTTCTTTTACTTTTTAGTCCCATTTTCTGAAAGGGGAAACATTATTTGGGGAACTTATGCCTTCCTTTATTCTATTTTGTTTTGTCTAGGCAGCATACCAGGTTCCCAAACCACCTCCAAATTTCACAGTGCACCAACCCCAAATTCACCAGCAGCTTCCTGATCCTTCTGGTCAACTATGCTCTGTTGCCAGCCCCTCTTCTTCGRTCAATGGTGCTCCAACTAAGACACGTATGCGTTGGACACCAGAGCTTCATGAGCGCTTTGTAGAAGCTGTCAATCAACTTGGTGGAAGTGAAAGTGTGTAACTATTTGGGCCATATTTCTTGATCTAATTTTAGCCAGAGGAACCATGAAGTTTCTTCACTTATTCGTTTCTTATGCATGACATGCAGGAGCTACTCCAAAGGGTGTGCTCAAACTTATGAAAGTTGAAGGGTTGACCATATACCATGTAAAAAGCCACCTGCAGGTCTGTATATTATGCCCCAATCTCCCCAAAAAAGATTGTTTCCTTTTAGGCCCCATTCGTTTACCGGTAAATAAGAGGGGGAAAGTTGGGCAATGGGCATCTTTTTCCCATTGACCAACTTTACAATGTTCTTTTTACATTTAGTAATGGATCTCATGGTAAAATCAGCTCCGCTTCCCCAGGTAAAACTTACCCATCTCCCAGGTGGGGGTAACTTTCCCACATGGGGGAAAATTTTATAAAACATAATGGGACAACTTTGTCCATTTTAATATTAGCTTTTTATGGGTAAAAATGTCATCCTGTTACTTACCTGGGAATCCTGCGAATGAAAAAAAAACATGGGCAGGTGAATTTACCCAGGAACATTTATCTGGGTAAGGTAAGTTACAAGTTGTAAAGGAATGAGGCTTTAATTGCACTTTTATTCCCCTTTCTTTTCTCTATTTTTTCCTTTTCTTGACTTGAGCTTTCTGCATGCTGATAAAAAAACAAAACTTAAGCTTTCTGCTTCCTGAATTACAGAAATACAGAACGGCAAGGTATAGACCAGACTCATCAGAAGGTAATAACAGTTGACTTGCAGTCACTTTTCTTATTCATAATTCCATATCTTTTGTTTAAATTCATCTGTTTTGCCCTATTTTCTTTAAACACTTCATTTCTGATTATGCACCTAAATATTTGCATGTATCTATATCGATGCATGTATGGGTTTTGTCTCTTTGTCCATGAATTAGATTCAAGTAGGGTTTCAAGTATTGTTGCTTGTTTGTGTTTGTGTATGCATATATGGTTGGCACAATGCTGTTGTTCTTGTTATTAATTAATTATAAATGTTCATATTTATAAAAAAAAATTAATTATAAATGTTCATATTTATAAAAAAAATTAATTATAAATGTTCATCAATTATAAATGTTGCTTAGATGTTCAGATGTTGGGACAAAGGAGCTTTAAATTGATGCTTCATCAATAAAATCATACTTCATTGTTGCTGATAAAAAAGTCCCAATGCTCAAAACAACATATGAGGATGGGCCTACTCATGAACCAGACTTTAATTTACATTTTGTAATATTGCTAGTAACTTGCTTTCTTCATCAAAGAATCTTAGGACCATTATCCTTTTTTTTGTTGATTGCTGAAATACTCTACTTGCTAATGAACTTGTAGGCTTTCTCATTCTTTGGTTGTCAGACCTTTTCTCTTTTTTTCTTCTTGGTAACCATGCAAAGATATATATATATATATATATATATATATATATATATATATATATATATATATATATATAT